AAGAACCCAAGAATTGGTCCAGCTAGGAACTTGACCCAAGACCTCCCAATCTGTGCGGCTGACACCTACCAACCCTTCTACAGTCAACATAAAGACACAAGAAGACACATGACATTGTGAATACATTATGTTGTGATTCAATTTTCACACTGGTTTAAATTTTATTGTCCTTTTTTTCAAACTCATAACCAGACATTAACATATCCAAAAACAAAAAGGTTTGTTTGTTTGTAGTGGAAAGTGCACTTAGCTTATCCAGCTAGTTTATAGGCACTCCATTCAAATAATTCTGAAACAAATGATGCAAATAGAACATAACAGGATTCAAAACTCCAACTGGTGGGAGGCTACAGCAGTTAGCTATTTACAAGCATGGCCAAGGATTTGAACTAGGGACGACCAAGAACAAATCCAGCAAGTGCCCAGAGCAGCCACGCTGCCTCCAAGAAAATAACATTTAACTGAGGATAAAACTGAAGTCCACAACACCTACATCAACTCACCTGCCACTTCTTCCTTTGTTTCCTTTGCCTTTGATGGCAGGATGTGCAAATATCGTCCTTGAAAAACTTTTCCATCAAGCTCATTAAACGCCTTCACAGCATGCTCTGGCATGACAAATGTCACAAACCCAATGCCACTAGGCTTGTTAGTTGTCTTGTCTAGAGGCAAATATGTCTCTGTTAGAGGGCCATACTTCTCAAACAAGGTTTGCAAGTCTTCCTCTGAGCAGGTATATGTCAAGTTCCGAAGAAAAAGTCTTCCAGACTACAATTACAATAAAATAAAATATAATTGCGTTAAAAAATATGGCTCAGTTTTAACAAGTGACTTTCACCAGTTATACTTGTAAAGTATAGTGTTTGCAATAGAGAGTTCCTCATTCTTGTATCCAATGAACACATCAGGGAGGGGTCAGATCCTGGAATTTGTAGGGTTATTATTAGTGTTTGTGTGAGGCTGAAATTCACCTTCACCTCATAGAAACCTCAAAGTTCCACTAATAACAGTATTCTTAGAAGAAAATTTGATGCATGAGAGTGGACCACCAAGAGGAAATATGACCACCTCTTTAGAGTAACTGCTACTTGTTGGTCATTAAAGTTTCTTGAAGTTACAGTCAATACCCGTTTACGGACACCTGCTTAATATGGATGCCTCATTATTTCTGACAGTTTGTTTTGTACCTGGGGAAAGAAAGCCCTCACATTAATAACCTGAGATCAGGCCCAATTTTAGCGGTTCTCATACATTCTCTCTAATGGCTACTGCTAAAATTGGGCCTGATACAAACGCTCTCACGTTTGTGCTCATTACGGCCAGACTTTGGCCGTAATGCTGATTGGCTGTTAGAACAATGCCACAAGATCTGATTGGCAGTTGGAAAACGCCAGAAGTTGAAAGCACTTATTCCTTGCGTGGTTGTTTTCGTGAACAATCCGCCGTCAGCGGAGAGAAGGATCGATTTTGCTGTCTTTTTTATTGTTTTATGGTCTTATGGTACAAAAATATGCCTTAATATGTACCATGGAAATTCAGAAAATTCATATGGTTGTTCATATCTTCTCAGGATTTGCTTTAGTTACGGAACTAATGTGAGTGTATCGCGGAGTTGAATCCCTCTGCAAGTTGTTGACCACTAACAAGGCGTCTTTTGATTTACCAACAAATGAGTGCAAATCAAAATACTGTCCATCTTAAAACTGGTTTCATTTGAAAGTTTGGCCGGGAATGACTTCTCTGAAAGGGGTACGCAAGCGGAGGCTCACTGCAAAAGAAACCTCAATCGCCAAATGTGAAGTATAAGACGAAAAATATTGCATCGCTGTTCAAGGAATTTTTGTTGGCATTATTATAAAAGCTGGTGACGTTAGTCTTAAGGTAAAAGACTTGTTGTTTGCCTTCGCTTTTTGTAAGAAATAAACCAGGAATACTGGTGTCCTCGCTCATAATCTAGCACAAAGTTAAATGTGATTGTGTGGATTGTTTTATTTTTAGCCGAAAAGATTAACAGATAAAAACTATTTTTTAAGTCAGCCAGTCTGCATTTTTCTTACGCATGAAAAATTTGCATACTAGAAAAACAAGCAACGGAAGTAATTTTGGTTGGCAGAATCGGAAAATGTCAATCAATCAAAAAAGTGGGCGGCAGACGTTTTGTAGAAGGTTTGTGTCAGGCTCTGTTTTCGTTTCGCCTTGCCCGCCAGAATGTTATTACAAAGCGAAACGAAAATTGAGCCTGATCTCAGGTTATCACATTAATTGCTCTATATTCAACCTCCTTAATATTGACACCCCATTAGTATGGACACTTTCTATGGCCCCCTTAGAGTCATTATTAACAGTGTTTGACTGTGCAAGATACAGGTGATCCTACATACCTCAGCAATGCTTTCAAATTCCTCTTCTCCTTCCTTTCCAGCAAGCTTCTTCATCCACGGTTTCTCTTTAACTACTATCTGACTTGAATGTTTCTCTTTGTCTCTGAACAGCTCTATATATCGACCCTGAATACAATCCCTGTCTCTCTTCAGTGCTTCTTTTATATCATTTTCACTTCCAAAATCAACAAAGGCACAGCCTGTTGGCTTCCCTTCCTTGTTTTCTATCATTCTTATATCAAGTAACCTTAAAGGAGCAAAGAAATCTTTGATGTGTTTTTCTTTAACTTTGAAAGGCAATCCTCTCATTTTGATTGTTCCAAATTTTATAGATTCCTTTGAATTTTCTCCTTTATCACCATCATTAATATCATCATCATCATCATCATCATCATCATCATCATCATTTACATCATCACCATCATCATCATTGTCATCATTATCATCATCACTTTCTTTAGTATCTACATCCACACTTCCTTCATCTGAAATTTCTCCATTAATGCTGTCATTATCAGAATCACTATCTTTTCTGCTTCTCTTTTTCTTATGAGGTTTTCTTGAAGATGACACAACTTTTGATCTCAAGTAATCCATATCTGACAATTTACTATTCCTTGCAGTTTTGTTTTCTTCTTCATTTTCTTCCTCTGTTTTGTCATTGTCATTTTGACTTCCTTGGTCTCCCAATCCTGAAACAAAATGAAAACATTATGGTATTCAAAAGTATAATAAAAGATCTACGATACACTTCAGCTTCATTATAGAATAGTGCCTAATGAAATGCACATTCAATGACCATTTGTGCACTCACAAAGCATTCCATCACAGGCACCCTCCTTTGATTCTCTGAGTGATCAAAGTGTTAGCTAATCATTTCCATGATACAAAGGTAATTAGCATAAGCAAATTGATACTTTTTCCTACTTGAGATGTTCACTGGACATTTTTGTACTTCTCTCATTAGTATTAGAAACTGCAATTGTTCAACTGTAAATTAATTTTACCTCATACAAAATTTTTGGGATTTAAACCAGTATAATGTATACAATTCAAGAAAAACAGACATGAAGTTGAAAGGATCTGAATTTCACTCAGCATTGTTTTTGCCAGTATACAAATTTTCTATCCTTGACATCAAACTGAAATATTCCGCTTTTATGCTTTTTGATTTGCTCCTTTTCCATTTTAAATCAAAATTAGGAAATAATGATGCTTTTATGTATATTTACACTTTCAGGAGGAAAAAAATGCAAAGAAACATTACGTTTACAGCAATGGCACTGCATCTTTACTCTGCTTCACTTACACATATGCAAATTATCCTTCATTCAGCAGACTTTGCTTGAGACAAAAAAAAATATCTTCAATTTCTCAGATGCTTACCCTCTTGGGCGCAAAAGTTATTTTGACTTATTTTTGAAAAAGTCAAAACAATGATTCCATGTTTTGACCTCTTTCTTTTCTATATAGCTTTAAGTCAACCTGTTAAGTAACAAATGGAGCATTAGCAGGTTTGCTAGTCCAAGGATCTTAGCTACTGGTATTTCGAGCTACAGACCAAAAATAATACCCTTGCCTTTACTGAAACACTGCAACTCCCATAACTCATGACCAGCACTCTGGCATTTGAGAGAGGATGCTGCTTTTAAGACATAAGACACCAAAGCTAGTTTGCTCCTGTTGTTACGGCTGCCACGTTGGTTGACATAAAGAAAAGCATTTCAAAACACTGAAAACTTAACCCTGTTTTCAGGCAAATTTTGGGGAAAAATGGTCCTAATTTTGTATTTGTTTTGTCAACCAACATGGTTGTCTACATGGTTGCAAGATCAAGAATTTTGATAAAAATACCTAATGGATCATAAACTTCATCTTCATTTTCACTTCCATCAGAGTCATCATATTCCACTTCCACATCTTCTTCTCTAGCTCGTTTTTTCTTTGACTCCCTGTCATTTCCCTCTGCATTAATATCATCCCCTGTTTTCCTAGAGCTTTTAACCTTATGTACTGAATTTTTTAGGACTTTAAGTTGTAGTAGAAGTTCGAGAAGGTCCTGGAAATATCAAAAGAAGAAAAAGAAGAGAAAAGGTTGTCAATAAAAGAGCAAAAACCGCAGAAGAAAAACGAGTCTAAACCTTACTTGTTCCCCTTTGCCATGAGCTTTCTTTTCCTGTTTTTCTTTCAATCTTTTGTTTGCAGAACTTCCCTCAGAATATTTACTCCAAGGCCTCGGTAACGACAGGTCTGCAAAATGTTTAGCAACGTCTACAAATATCTTAGAAGTATCAATATACGAATTATTAAAATACGATAGGGCAGCTTTCGCCAGGTCGTCTGTTTTGTAACCAACGAAGCCATATCTCCTGAACTTTCCATCTTTTGTGTAGCAAAGCTTGACGTCCGTTAGCTCACCCTTAGCTGCGAAAATGGAACGAAATCTGTCCTCTTTTATATTCTTTGGAAGGTTCTTGATAATCAGTCGAGACATGGTCCAAATCAGTGAAAATCAAACAATTTTCAAGACCAAAATACCATACGCAACTCCGCCGTCCGCCATGTTGTTGGTGCAATATGCACGTGTTTCAATTGGTAGCAACCGCTGTCCAGAGCTAACGCGCAATTCAAAATGGCGGAAAGGAGAGGAAGGTCAATGAAGAGAAAAATCGAAGAAGTCGAGAAAACTGAAAGTCACGAAAAGCAAAGTAACATTAAGCGATTTTTTGGAGCCTCTAAAGTAGGTAGGAAATGCTTGATTTCAATTTTATGTTTTTTTATTCCTGCAAATCAGAACAGAACCTGATTAGAGACCACCCACCGTAGTGGCAGGAAATAAAATACTATTAATAAATTACAGAGTTAAACTGTTATAAACACCATACACCTATGAAATTTTAAGTAGTGTAAAAGCCACTACAGTGGAGATTAAAGCATGACATGATATATGCTGTGATTCAAGGACATTTTAACCTTTGGTTCAATTTTGACAGTTTCTAGCAATCCCCCATTTGGTTTGGTTTGGTTTGTTGTGTACAGCTTGCAATATAATCCGTTATACCCCAATGTTCGCAAACAAATTCCCCACACTGATCTCCAAACAAATATTAAAGGATTAGTTGAGAGAATTTGTTTCAAGATCAAGGCATTTTCCCCATAATGATTCTATTAATTCTTACAACCTTTTCTTACCACAACATCTACTTTGCAAGGGAAAAAATGAGGTTTTCACTCCCCCACTTCATCCCTGAGTCTCAGCTTGAACTTATTTTTGCAAATTGCTGGAAAAATCGCAACAATTAGAACCTGCAAAAGTTTTGTGCCACATTTAAGTCTCATACCCAGCCTATGCTTTGCATTTTTAGAAGATAATTCAAAAAGCACTGGGATTTCAAAGCCTGATGGCACAGGCAACCAAGAGCCTCCTTGGAAGTGGAAAGAAACTTTACTGTACTTTGAATCACCAAGCATCCAACCTTCAAACAGAATTGCAAGTTTTGATTTTGATGGAACTTTAGCTAAGACATCTTTATTCAAGCACGGCGCTGATGCGTGGTCTGTACTGTATCCTACGTGTGTACAGAAGCTGACAAAATTGTACAAGGCAGGATATAAACTTGTAATTTTCACCAATCAGGCTGCTATAGGCAAAGCTAAGGCTACAAAGGAGAGGGTTATAGCTGAAAAGAAAGGCAGACTTGCAGGATTTGTCAACAAGGTAGGATGCACATAAGTTAAGCATGCAATATTGACTTGTTATTATTTTTCTTTACACAAAGTGAGAATGCTCAGATGTATGTTGGCAAAGAATTCAGTGGACTTTAAGGCATGCAAATGGAATGAAACATATTTAACTTTCCAGGGTTACAAAATAATATTGGTTTTATCTTATTAACATATATGACACAGACAATCAGTCACTATTTGTAGCAAATGGCAGAGAAATATATATTTTGTGAGATTTATTTGTCATAATGAAACTGCTGCTCCTAGAAGTACATTCTCATGCCAAGCTTCTAGAGTGTAAATAATCGAGGGAAGATCATGATGGCTTACTCTATTTCTTCATTGTTGCATTGAATCATTGAAGATGCAACAATATTTTCCCCTTGTTTATACCAAATGATTTTGCTAAGTAAGCTGCTAGTGCTGTTATTGTTGATGAGGCAATACAGAGCATTTTAATTTGATGATGATGGTTACGATGATGAAGATGATGATGACAATGATGATGTTGTTGTTGTTGTTGTTGATGGGGAGGGAACATAGTCAAATATCCTCTAAACCAAAAGAAAATTATACAACTCAATTGTAAAACACAGTTAATGGAGCGTGACGCCCTCAATTAACAACATGTAATGCAGTGTTATGCTATAGCCCTTATCAAATCTCATAGAAGTTTACTTGTAGTGGGTAAAAGTACTGGATAGTGCATAAAATCACGGCTATAGCTGGGAAATTACTGATACAATAGCAATCCTTGTTTTTGTTGCAGTTGGGGCTAGTTTGTAATGTATCGCTTGTTTTGTATGGCTAGTAAAAATAATTTTCCTCATGCATATCTCGTGGAGCACTTTAGGTGCACGTTCTATTCTGTAGTACAGCATTTTTCATTGGCTTACCTTGGGATAGCACTCGGACTATAAAAGGCCTAGTAAAAGTCCTGTGTCTCATTCCGAACTGTATTGCTAAATTGGTTACTTCAACCGTCATAAAGGAACTAAAACATTAACAAAGGTTTTATTTATTTTTAATTATTGTCATGAAGTAATGGTTCCTTTTTCAGGTTGGTCTTCCATTCCAAATACTTGTGGCAACAACAAAGGACGACTATCGCAAACCCAATACAGCAATGTGGGAGTTCTTCTGTCAGAACTGTAATGGGGATGTCAAAATTGACAAAGAGAAGAGTTTCTTTGTTGGTGATGCAGCAGGAAGAAGAAAAGATCATAGTGCAAGTGATAAAGAATTTGCAACAAATTGCGGACTGAAATTTTATACCGAGGATGAATTTTTTGAAAAGGATATACTTGAACACAAAGATTAATTAGGTCTTTTAACCCCTTATAGTGCCCAGCACTTTGGTCTTCTCCTTATAAATATCTGCTTTATTAATTGTATTTATTATAAGAATACAGAAAAATATTCACCAAACTTAAAACCTTTTTACTTCTACAAAAATAGTTTCCTTAACAAAAGGTATTCAGAACAGGTTGGAGAATGTATTACATAATACAGATGTAAATTTATGAGCATTACTGACTATTATTATATTTTATATTGAGACCTCTTTGACTACAGTTCTTTCAATGGAACTTTTTGGTTTTCTGGATTATAGGTTGGTCATACCAAAAGATTTATGCCTATTTGTGCTATACGAACCATTTTCATTTTTAACTTCTAGTTTTTGCAGAATAAGAAGCTTTCTTTGTGCTCATAATTTTCACGATCTGATTGGAGTCATTTATAAGGTCTTTTTTGTGCAAGACTTTCTTTGTTCCATTGGAGTCAACTCCTTCTGCTCTAACATACTCTCCAGCTAAAAGAGATACTGGTGGATAAAGCATGATATCAAACAACTTTCCAACTGTTGTTCCCGGTTTCAGCACAACACAGTCTCGAAGTATTTGAGGTTTTTCATTTGCCTTCACACTGATTGATTGACAGGTGTCAAGGCAATTGACAGGAAAGGCATATGTTGGTGAACGTAGACTCACAGCTTCTGACAAAGCTCGCAGGACACCAGTGTCTCCAATCATCTGAAGAACATTTTCTTGTATGTGCGCTAATTCTTTATCTGAACCATCCATATTTTGTTGTGACTGGGTGTTGATATCAAAGTAGGAAGCACCACTTTGGTAGAAAATGACCCCTTCTTTGCACTTCTGTTGTAAAAAGCATTCACTTTTTGCACTAACAGGCACCATTGTCATGTCAGTGAACTGTGCGTTAAATTTATCCAGATTATCTATTGCATTGGCAAGATCTACTCTGTTGAGAGCTAAAAGGATTGGAAAGCGTAGCCGCAAAAATTCAGCAACCAATTTATGTACCCAACGCTCAGCATGATCCCTTTCCATCTTTGTTATGGCTGATAGCCTAGCATCTGTAATCCCTGCTGACTCAAATGCAAGCTGGATTAGAGCTTGTGAAGTGTGATATCCAGTAAACATGTCACAGAGTTTTGTTGGTTTCTTTCTTATTGAATCCCACTTGTCCATTATATTATCGTAAATCCATCTATGAAGCTCTTGATGAATCCACTCTACATCTCTAGTTGGATCATATTCTAGTGAAAAAAGAACAAAACCAAGTCATCAAAATGCTTCTTTTCTGTTTAGGTGGGGACTTAAAAAAATATAATTATTATATTATATTACTTAGCAATTAATGAATGAGGCTGAGTATCTTATGAAGAATTATGGAGATCGAGGAGGGATCTCCATAATTCTTGATATGATACCAAAGCCGAATTCAATAACTGTTTGATTATTCATTCAAAATAATTCCTAGTTTAAAAACATGGCTAAAATATGCTTACCTCCATCGATCCATCGATGTTAAGTTCATCTTCGATAGTGCACGTTTAGGGTTGTTCAGTTCCGCAAATATTCTCAAAATAGCAGATGTCGCCCTTTGAGTTGTCTTCTTGCCATTCTTGCCATGTTTTTAGCTATTTTTCGCCTAGTTCTTACTCTTGAAAGTGAAATGTCCGCCATTTTTCAAGTTCACAACCAAAACAACTCAACCTTGTCCCCAGGTCTTCTCGATTAACGGTGCGTTAACCTACATGAATGCTGCATTTTTTACTTCATTTCCTCGCTAAACACAAAATTCTTCCAAATTTGGTCATCAGTAACTGGTTATGGTGAAGTAAACGTGTGCTTTTAGCCAATCAGAATAGGGGAAATATTTTGAATGAATAATAATTTCATCCTGATCACGTGAGATGGTCACTTTGATACAAGAGTTTCTGACACCATAGCTGCAAGAAATAGTTGGACATTGGACGATGTCCAACTACAATATTGGCTTATGTCCAATGAATTTTTTTTAAATTCTGGTAAGGTCAGACATGATGTTCCGACAAAGTTTAAAATACCAAAGACTACCACTTTGCAGATAAATAGAATCTACCTATTCTGGAGGTGCGACAGTACATTTCCCATCTTGGTAATGTAACCAACTCTGACATGCAGCAGTGTTTTCATTAAGAATTCTAGTAGCAGGAGAAAGGTGTAACATTACAGGAGAATATTTTGAAAGAGGCCCACATCTGAGTAAAAAATATTTCAGCATAGTAAAAGGAGAATTCTCCAATGCCTAATGAACACCCTGCATGCAGACAGTTCTGTCTGTCCCTTTGCTGTCCATATAAGGAGGTTTGACTGTATTTTTTTATAAGAGACTGTTTAATGAGATGTTCAAGCATGAAGATTGCAAAAGTTACAACTTAACTATGTCTCTCCAAAAATTGGCGCCAAGAGTTACCTGTTGTGGGTTTTCCGTCTTCATCTGTCTGTCCAGAAAGGTCAATCACATGAACAAGAACATCAGCATCTAACAAATCACTTAAAAACTTGTTTCCTCGCCCTCTTCCTTCGCATGCACCAGGTACTAACCCAGCAACATCTTTGAGCAATACTGGTACAAATCTTTCACCAGAAGCACTGTGTCCAAATCTGGCCTGACACTGGTGACTCCACTGTAAACAAGGGCACGGTATGGTATAAAAAGCCTGGCCAATGTTTGGTTCAATTGTTGTGAATGGGTGTGCTCCTATTTTGGCCATATTCTGATGTGTGGCAGCATTAAAGAATGTGGATTTACCAGCTGAAGGTTTTCCTAAAGAACAACAGATCATATTACTAAAGTTACCAAGAAAACCCACACACCCCCAAAGGGAATGTTGATTTATGCTAGCAAGGCTAAACTCAACTCAACTCATCCCATCCCATCTCTCATCTCATCTCATCCCATCCGATCCCATCTCATCCCATCCCATCCCATCTCATCTCATCCCATCCCATTCCATCCCATCTCTAAACTCACCTCATTGCACTCATTACCCGGAAAGAAAAGGGAGAGGATTTAAGACTGGACTTGGAAAAACGGCAGAAATTGAGCCTAAATTATACCCTAAGATCAAAATTTGAATTCTCATTTGTTGCCCTTATTCATTTCCTACAGAAGCGTGGGGAGAAGTTAACAAAATATCAAGCAAATTCATCTTGTGTGATCATGTCTGTAATTCTCATGACCACTCTGTTTTACAAAGCATTGATAATAATAAGGAGAAATTTGATGCTGATCACTCTTAGGGCTTAAACGGTTCAATTACCAATAAGACCAATAACAAAGTTCCATCGTCCCCCCTTCACATTGGCAGTTTCCAGCTTATACTTCAAATCTTGTGGCGTCAGTGAATCAGGACTATTTTCAGTATTCTCTGTTTCACAAACAGCTTTTTTCTCTCCCTCAGAGCTCTTGAACCTGACAGCATTTTCATTAATCCATTCTTTGGTTGCATCTACCAGACTAAAAACCATAGGCATTCCAACATATTCTTTGCATGAAACTCGTATAAAAGTGAGCAGGTCTTCTATAAACTCTTTCGGCATTGCATTAGAACGGTTGGGTATCTCAATTAATGGGATTTCATCTGGATAAGTTGGCGGAAAAGAGATCTTTAGCTGAAGAGATGACACAGAGGTGAAAATGTCCACATCATCAATTCTAATCATAAACGCTGGAGGAAATGTGCTGAGCTCCGAGAATTCATCTGGGAAGATAGACTTTAAACATTCTACTTCTTCTCTCTGTTCCCCAAGATAATCCATTTTGCAAGCAATAGTTTATTGATCTTTATTCATAAAAACTTTGCAGGTCAACAACCATCTTGGATTTCACACAAATGGTGCAATAAGAAATGAAATGTGATTGGTCGGTTCTTGAGACATCCCAGACGTCTTTTCGGCATTTAACACGGAGTGTTCAAGACAAGATGGCGGCTCGCATACTTTCTCGGTTGAATTGGGTTTCAAGGCGTTTTTATGCTGCTACTGCGGATTCATCAAAAATGACTTTAGCAGAGAAGGAAGCAGCAGAGTCCAAACATGCTGAATGTAAGTTTAAAATGTGTTAATAAGAGCGAAATATATCGCAAAAGCGATATTGTTGTCTGATATTTGGTCGACCTATTAATCATACGACAATTTTATAAACAGGATTAAAAGTCTTGGAAACTCTCCCTTCTTTCCTTCCAACTCGATTTTTAAAGACGTGTTTGAATAGGTCTCTTTTTAATAAGAACTAGCGTGTACCATACCAAAAGTCATTTCAACTAACCGAAAGAAAATTTTAATGAGGAGGATTGATTTCAGTTCTTCAGTAATTTGAATTCCCCCAAAAAACTTCACTCACCCCACGGGCAAGTTAAGAACAGACTTGACTAGCCCAATAGCAAAATCCACTAACCCTGGCCACTACTTTCTTTGTATGCTGAGTTTGTCTTCTTTTTTAATAATTTAGCAACCATGAAGACATGGAAGAACATTTCAATTTTTGTGGCTGTGCCAGCAATTTTGATCTGTGCTTACAATGCCTGGGTGAAGGAAAAGGAGCATCATACCCATCCTAGGCCAGAGTTTCTTGAGTATCCCCATCTAAGGATTCGTAACAAGGTAAATTAAATGAAAAAAAAATGATCCAAATTGCTGTGCTTTTCAATAACATGCGAACTCTGAAGTTCAAATGCCAACTAATGTTTTCGTTCTTCATTGCCATCATTCATCTTAGCGGACCCCTCAAGAAACAGAAATTTACTTTCATTGATTTCAAAAGTTTATGGCGTGTGATTTGTTATTGGTGGATTTTGATCCATTTTGTGTGGTTCTGAATCTCGGTACCATTACTTGTGATGGTAATTAAATTTCAGAGTTTGCATGTTATTGAAAAGCACAGTAATGGTTATTTATTAACTATACACCAATCCCAGCTAAGGCCAGGCCCTAAATTTCAATCTGACATCAAAGTTAATGATAGACAAAATCTTTAAGATTGCACAGAGTAGGAAGGGAGTGTTTTTTTCTGTATTACATTAATTTCATTCTTCACATGATACATTAACAGCAACTTTTTGTTCATTGCTTTGCAACTTAGTCCCAAATGATACTCAAAATACCTGTAATAAAGCAGCTCTTACAGTAGTTTTAATGACACATTTCCCCCCGTTTTTTTTCAGTAAACAGAGTTCAAAATATAGACACAAGTAATCCCACCATCTTGTCTTGAATTTGTACTGAAGAAATTTACAGGAATGATACTTTTACTTTCAAAGATGTTGAAACACACAACATATTTCTCTTTGTCTGAGATTTGAATAAATTATGACCAGGCTTGTAAGTACCTAAGTTGACTAATATTCTGAGACATAAACCCTTTACAATAATTAAAAAAATCGTCATATTCTTCTTATTATTTGGGAATGACTTCAATTAATAGGAATGGATTGCATTTCATGTTAAAATTGAATACTTGAAATTGCGCCTGGTCGCTAGGGGTGCTTCCGATTTACTCACAGACGACTAAAATTAAAAGCAAGTAGTCCACACAAGCGTCTAAAACTTATGCTTCTTATGACAATAGCTTCTATGCCAACTTCAAATGAACAAACAACAAAATTCCCTGCTCATTCTGCACTTTTGAAACAAAAACTTAAAGCGTGTGGTGGTCGACCGTGGACAAAAATAATTCTGCAAGTAAAATTAAACAAACAAGCACTTGTCTTGAAATTGGCACCAGTGACCTCCACTCCCAGGGCTTCTGCTGCAGTACAGTTGAAGTTTCTTGTCTCAAAAAGATCTCAAATGAATTTTGTAGTCTCAGAAAAACTTTTGGTATCCCAAAAAAGCTTTTAGTTGGTCCTTTTTTATTGCTTAAGAACTTTAACTTCACTTTGCTTAAATATTGTACATGTAAGCATTGTTGATTGGTGTGAATGGTTGATTCATGCCTCTTGAAACTCAAACAAATCAAGTTTCAAGATGCATGAATCGAGTTTCGAGGATCTGCTTACTTACAGCAAAGGAGATACAGATACTGTCGATAAGGTCATCCTTGTTAACGAGGTTTAGGAACCATGGCTCCAGATCTTTTCTTGAAATACAATTGAGGTTCAGGAAAAGATTGGCCCCTGAATGTTTGCTGAACTTTAACTATGCCACTATTTATGCCCTAATGAATTTGAAGTTTATCAATCAATGGGTTTCTAGAAATGTGGCTGGGGCTCCTAACTTTTTACTTTGACTTTATTTTTTCTTATGCAGTAGCCTTGACCGGAATCTTCTAACCATAGCCTCTTTTGGAGTAAAGAATGTTGACTGAGTCATTTAATAACATCAATCAAAATTTCACCAGAGAAATATGCCACTATTGTCTTCTGTTGCTTCCAGTCACTTGCCTGTAACAGGAAAACTTTCTTTTCATTTTTTGAGGAATTTTTCTCTGCAGAGTTAAGTCACCTGCATTTTAAGAATCATCTTTTTGAGTATTGTAAATTCAGAGCTTCTTTATACCAAAAAGCACTTTTTTTATCACAACTGAATGATTTCTTGTGCACTGTAAGGTCAAGAGCTATGTTTGATAAGAGTACAGACCCTGGAAATGACTGGATGGTGGCACAATTTGGTTTTCTCTTTCTTGCACACCCAATTTTCCAAGAAACTTCAACGGAAATGGGCATCAAAATAATTTTGATGCCCATAATAATTTTATTATCAATGTTATTGTAAAAACAAATTGAGAGCATGGTCTGTTCTCTTATGGACCATAGAAATGAGGTCAAAATTTTGGTTTTACTTTGCAGTAAAACTACTTGCCATTATAGTCATTTCAATGGTCGGTAAGAGTACAGACCATGGAAAATTGTTATCGATTTGGTAAAGTGGTGAATTTTTGTGGGGCAAACAAAAAATAATTGTTAAGTGAGATGTGTTGATCAGCCAACTGTCACCTGTTGTGCACATTCATGAACATTCCAATCATGACAATAACAAACCAAACAGCACTCCTCATTTGGAAAAAGGCTATTGTTGAATTCATTACTATTATTATTTAGAACAAAAAAAGAAATGTTGAGGGCAATAATTCCTTTCCTTATAATAATAATATTGATAAAAGTCTTTCCTAAATAATGAGTGGAACCCCAGGAGGGGGGTACTCAGGATTTCAAGTGACGGGGATGATCGAATGGAGCCAAAAGTCAAGACCCAAAAAAACCCCTAGGGCTTCCAGCAAAACCCCAAAAAATCTTTGGACCAAAAATTAACCCCCAAAACATCCCATGCCGATTTTGTGGCCCTTATAACTTCCAGGAAGGGGTAATACTAAAACACAAAGAAAAACATTGGAAATTGAACACTCATGTTTGTTTATTCATCATACCATCTGAATATATCCTTTCCCTCATCTGATTCTTTTTAATACCCCCAAAAAATCCCTACTCAAATCAAACTACCCAAGCCAAATTTTCGTACCCAAAAAAATCCCGCAATCAAAAATTTCAAACCCCAAAAAATCCTTTGATCATCCCCGTCACTTGAAATCCCGAGTACTCGCCCTGGGAGTGGAACATGCTAGGTGTTTGGACTGTAACACAGTTGTGACTTGTATACTGTATTTTGCAGGCATTTCCATGGGGTGATGGAAATCACAGCTTGTTCCATAATCCACACGCCAATGCTTTACCTACAGGTTATGAAGATGGCAATGAAGGTCATGAACACTGAGCACCATCTTTAATGTTTGAAAGGCTCATGTTCATCTTAGCTGTTTACAAGATGTGTTGATAAGTCGTTTGCTGCTAATTATGCTGTCTAGATTATTTTCCACTATGCATTGGCTCGTGGTCCAGTTATTTTTCTTGCTGTCTTGTAATGGAATAAATTGTAAACAGTTTGTGAATAAAAATTTAGTGCTACGTTTTTATGTGCATTGAATGTTTCCTAAAAAAATCCCAATGGAAAAGCTTTAAAATGCAACATATTGTGAAACAAAGCCCTCAGTCTGCTCTCATTACCTTGCAAAAATTGATGTAGTCTATCATTAAGATGCATACATTAAGCTTGAGGATGAGTCATTTGGTTTTGAAGTACATGTAAGCACAGAACACTTAACAATCATTTAAAGGAGGGCTCAGTCTTGAAAGAGGTATGGATATCAGCTAATTATTTTCATAGCAAAACTCTCATAGCTTTGAATTTCTTTAAATTACTTTTGATAAGCTGAGAAGCTATAATATATTATTATTCTGAACAGTAACCTCCTATACAGTCCTTGTAAAGGAAGATTGCATAACAGCCAAAAAGAATGTCTCAAAGAGGCTATCTAGACACAGTTTCACTGATGATATCCAGGGCAGCTCAAAGTCAGACTGTATTACTCCACTGCAACCCTTTTTTCAACCTAATTCTTGGTGTGACAAAAATTTTCAAAGTTATCTCAATTGAAGTCATATGGAAGTATTTCATTTGAATAGCCTGGAATTAATCAGCAAATTGAGATCATATTATGATATTCTTACTCTGTAACTTACATCATCCATTTTCCTTTATGTTTTTGTCCAGCTCTATGTCCAGAGCAAGGAAACAATATTTGGCAATTAATTTGTTATCGGATGAGGCTAAGTATGATATGAAGAATTATGTACATTAAGGACAGTGTTATCAGCTGAAGCCAAAAGCTGAGGTTGATAGTGTACACTCTGAGGTCTGCATAATTTATTATTCATATCATGCAAATGTTGAATTCAATAATAATACTAACATGATTAATAGGAATAAATCACTAAACCAGGAAGTTTTCTTGTCTTTTTCTCAGCCATAAAATTCACCTGTTAGCCCTTTTAGAACCTTTCATATTGACAGATTTCTCCACCCTTCATATACTTCATGCAGTGAAATCCTTACTCTTTAGGTACCCCTTTGAGGCAAAGTCTCCTTGTTTTGGTCATTATAGGGAGTTTGCTTCCCCTTCTGGGAAACCAAACCCTCCTCTTGGGGGGTACAGGCTGTGACCCTGTACAGTACTCCCTATAATGGCCTATACTGGGAGGCTCCACCCAAAAGAGATACCTTGTTCAGGCTTCAGGTACATGAAAGGGTACAGATTTCTCTAGTTTAAGAATATGAAAGGGTAGGGAAATCTGTCATTGCAGTCTGTAAAAGGTTCTAAAAGGGCTAAGTGACAAAATGCTTCCCTTTAAAAAAATCATGCCCCTGTGGGACAATATTGTTAATAGTAAGTGGCCTTTTTTTCTAGCGACCTTGGTTGGGTATCCTGTACTGTTCCATGTTGATGTGCTGAGATCAGTTGAGTTTTTTATTGTTGTTTATTGTTGTTTATTTTTTATTTTATTGTCTCTTTTCCTTGTTTTATTTTTCGCTGTTTTAATTGTTGTCAGGAGCCCTTTGTTGTTGTTTTGTTTTGTTTGTTGCTTTGTATTTTTTTTTTCGTATTTTCTTTTCCCTGTTGGCTTTTTTTCATTTCTTCCTACTTTTGCTTAACTGTTTCCCAAGGTTCAGTGATTGACGTACCATAAATCATCTATTATATGCCTACCCTCTAATAAACGCCTCTTCTACAATGTCAGGTTTGTATTAGATATCGATGGCCCTCTCTAATAAACGCCCCTCGTCTTATAGATGCACCCCATGACAATATTACTCCAAATAACAATAATAATAATAATTTTAAAAATGATAGCGTGCAAATATCTGTATGAATATGATCAAATGCGCGAAATACTAAGAATTAGCAAAAAATCGCTTGATATTTTCTCCTGAAGTATCTTAGTTTTGTTAAGCTTGTTGCAGTTATGAGAATAATCGCCTCCTATCTTTTGGGCCCCATGAATTAGCGCCCCGGCCGTCAGTTAGGTGGCTGTTAGATCAATTACGGTATTTTGGTTGGGTCTCCTGCGCTATTGTGATCACATGATGACGTCCACCTACTCCGCCCCTTCGCCCCCATTTTCCCAGGTGCCGGAGGAATTGCCTTTGCAGGTGATGCTTTTATACTTTTGAGAGGTAAGTGCGAAGAAAAATTGTTTAAAACCATCCTCTGACACCTGTTATTACGTCACCGATAACTGTCCTTGCGCGGAGATGTTGCGTGGAGCAAAAAAACTCCGATTTCATTCGAGTGTTTGTGCAATATTTATGCGTGACAAATTTGCACGCAAGCACCGTTTACTCAGCAAATTTGTGGTGACATTAACATATCACTTTCCTGTTATGGGGGTGACGGTTTCCTCCAAGAGGGAAAACAGAATCCATAAACACGTCCCTAAGCCATCATTTGCCAGCTTTTCGACATCTGGTACATTGACTACTGATTCATGCAATCGCGAAGATGTCGAAGGTGAGCTTTTTCAGAAGCCTTTTGAGCAAATACAAGCTAAACTGATATTTTTAAACAGCTTAGTATGGCTAACGAAGTATACGACTTGAGTGGCTCCTTGTACCAGCTGACATTTTGCCTCACTTTAACTTATAAACGATGATACCAATTCGCTGCGTGTTCAGTAGAAAGATTAAGTTTTATTTATTATTTTGTTTGTTTTGATGTCTGTCTTCGCTCTTGAACGTCTTCTAGTTCGAAATCAAAACAATTAACGGATACATTTTAAACCTTTTTATTGTAATAAGCTTTAAGTCTTACATTTTTTATGACTACTGGTGATAATGAAGTTAATTTAAATTTACAAGGAAGTTTTTTTATTCCATTGGTTTCTCCGGTTTTATGAAGAATTTTAAAAAAAACTCACGACAAAGATATCCCACAAGTCTGGTATCGATCCAAGGGTCTCTTAAGGCCTGTTTCAAACTTCGATCTACTGCTGTGCTACTGAAGCTGTCTCGACTGTAGCTCGACTGCAGCACGACACATTGAATTTAATTCAGTCGAATAGAACGGTTGTGGCCGAAAACAAAACAAAAAAAGACAGAAACCAAGTCAAGCTACTGCCATGTAGCATGACAAGGCTTGCCTTGTGAAAGTCGAATTTAATTAAAAAAAAGATCGTTGTGCCGTGTTGGATGTAATAATAATCATCTTTTTCCCAAGAAATGTACAGTGAAGTTCTCTTTTTGCCAAAAAGCGCGTGTAAATACTGAGCAAGTGCCCCTTGGGCATCCCATAATACTTCTTAACTCTAATAAATTCAATAATTGGCTGCTGTATTGGTAAAAAGGTGTATTTGTCTGTATTGGGGGTGGGAAGGGCGTAATACTGCAAAAGAGGCAGCCTTAGGATTTATGATCTCCAAAAGTTGGCCTTTCTGCCATAATAATGTCTGTTGCCATCATTGTTGCAGATTACTTACTCAGAGTGGCATAAGAGTCTTTCATAAAGGCACTATTACACTGATATAAGCTTTCATTATGGGAGGTTTATATGGGACATTGTTTATAATAACACCCATCAAAAGAACATGTCTCACAATATTGCATTAGTCCAGCATATGGGTGGTTGCAAAGAGGACTAACTGATGATTCTTTTCATTAATTTTTATTGTTAAGTAGGGGCAACTTCAGAAAACACAAGCATGATTGAAGTGACTGTGGGCCAGTATGATGACTGCTTGGAAGATGGAACGTAAGCTGGGCAACTATTCATCTTATTCTAAACTCTGCCGCCTGGTTAGCTCAGTTGAGAGAGCGCCAGTCTGCTGAGCTGGAGGTCACAGGATCAAACCCCTGCAGGACCGATAACCAGGGTCGTAAAATAATTGAGAAGAAAGTGCTGCTTTTGTTATGACATAAGGACAAAAATTATAGGTCCTGTCCCACAGCACTTTCACATATCTGGTTCTTGTGGGACTTAAAAGAACCCACACCACTGTTCGCAAAGAGTAGGAGACGTAGACCCCCTTGGTGTGGCCAACCTTTCCTGGGCTGGGTGGGTTATCTGTAATAAGGAGAGATCTTAATATAAGGACAACCTCATGATCTGCTTTCAGGAGTCATAATGGCTACCTGTCAACAGTGTAGATGTATAACTCTTTTCTTGTTTTAATTTACAGTGCAGGTGGTTGTACAACTGAGGCTGTTAGGATTAGGATTAGGGTTTGCACATCTGCAATTTAAACCCACCATTCAACTCTCAAAGAAAAATTGTAGGGTCTGCCTAAAAAAGCAAAACACAAGACCAAATAATTCCTTGAGTCATTATGTAAAGCCATTGAAATGGTAACAAAAATGATTTAACTTCATTCATACAGACTGTAAGAACACTGAGTGATTAGTATGTTGCATGATATAGTTGGGTGATTATGCTAGCAGTTACCTCAAGTTATCTCCAGATATGCACAGTTTTATGATGTAGATAAACATGTTTTCCCTTGCTGTAATCCTTACCTAAAAGAAAGCATTTCTCTGTAAACATATGGGAAAGAAAATACAAAAAATGTTTTATATGGTGTACCTAGTTAAGGTTCGAGTTATGTGCATTTCTGGACATAAATAGTTATCTAATTGGCCAAAAAATACCTTAGTGGTTTATAGAAACATAAAATGTGTTAAAACTAACAAGATAATGTTCTGTCATTTCATAAGACGTTGACTCTTTTTGAACTTGCATTTACTTATTTCCGATTCCTTGATGATGGCAGCATATGATTGTTGCTGAAACATCGGAACATTATCTCATTAGTTTGTGCATGATTATGTTGTAATAAATTCATGGTTTGCTTGTAGGATGAAGACAATAGACATTGGTGAGTCAGGGAAAGCACTACTGGTGCGAGAGAATGGACAGTACTATGCAATTGGTCATAAGTGCACCCACTATGGAGCTCCGCTTGCCACTGGACACCTCTGCAATGGTCGTGTACGGTGCCCTTGGCATGGAGCTTGCTTTAATGTCAAGACTGGAGATATTGAGGATTTTCCTGGTTTGGATAGTGTACCAAAATTTGAGGTATAGAAGGTATAATAATATAATATTGAAGGAGGAAAGTCCTTCATGACTTAGGGATGTCACTAAGATTTCAAGTTCAATGAGAGCAGATGGAAATTGCTGTTGCTTGAAATATCTATAAGTCCTATCTGTTCATCAGTAGGTTGCCTAAACCGTGTAGATGTATAGAGAGATAGATTGATGGTTTATTAAATAAACTACTAAATCACAGTCCCTTGGCTGAATTATGTAATTTTACAATTATATGGTAATAAAACTATGATAATAATATGCAATAATGTAGTAATAGTCCATGAATGATAAAACTATAATTAAAAAAGTGTTGACAAATACTTTAAAGAATGTGATAGCTTTTTGAAAGATATTAAAATTACGAAAGTTTAAAAATTCACAGAAATTTGTCTATGATTATACCATCTCAGCCATGGCATGTATGAGGGAGTTCCTTGCTTGATTGGTTTTCAAATTGGATACTCGAAAATTGCACTGTTTTCTTAAATTGTAACCATTGTGGTAGTGAGTTGGAGGCAACAGGTTTCTAATCTTATGGTTCTGGTCCAAAAGGATGCTTCTAAAAAGGGTGTTGCAAAGCTGATCATTGTGTTCTCCCAAAGGTATAATCCCCAAATCTTTCAACCCAGTGTTGTAGCTGGCACCTGGCACTATAATCCATATGGCCCATTTCTCTTTAGCGCACTAGCTCCTTTCTTTATGTATTGGGGAGGGTGTGGTAGAAGCAATAATTGCACAACTGGTTTAGGTTCCATTATATTGTAAAACTTTTTAGGAGGATCAGAGCCACCCACAATGTGAGCACAGTTACTGACAAGGCACATGACAGGAAAATGCCCAAAGAAAATGTATAATTTGCTTTAAATGACAGACTAAATGCACAAGTCAGTGAAATATTTAGTAAATAAAAGTGCACACACATTGAAATTGTGTGCACACACACAACCTACACTAACTAAAGGGATACTTTAATGATAAAATTAACAAAAGATATGGCAACACTATCCAAGCTATTCTCATCTCCAACAGTGTAATATTATAGTTCTTGGCATTAATTTTGCTTAGCCGTGGAATTTTTTTAACCCACTTGTAAATTGGTACATTTGCTTTTATTCATTTGTTTATTGATTTGTTTCTTTTAGGTGGTTATCAAGAATGATAATGTCATAGTCAGAGCACATCCAGAGGTATTTGAATATTTTTATGCAGTATTAATCCCTGATCTCAACAGGGTTACCCAACAGAGTTTTTACAGGGAGGCTCCACCTCAAGGTCCAACCCCTTAACCTTTTATATGCCATTTTTTAAGTAACCCCTTGTAACCTCCTGTAATTACTTGGAAACCCTTGTATCCTCCTGTAATCTCTTGTAACCCCTTGGTAACCCCCTGTAACCTCTTGTAACCCCCTCTAACCTCCGGTAATATCTTGTAACCCCTTGTAACTCCTGGTAGCCCCCTGTAAACCTTTTGTAACCCTTTGTAAGCCCTTGTAACCTCCTGTATCCCCTTTAAACCCTCGGGCATTACTCTAATTATAATGTATTTCTTTGCTTATTGATAAAATTATTGTTGTTGTTGTTGGTGGGAAAATAGAACTGGTTACATCAGTTTTGTGACTTGAAGAAGTTTAATGGCTGATTTTCCTTATATAGCAATTAAAATCCCATAAGAGAGTCAAGCAGATGGTGAAAGCAGATACAAGCTATGACAAGCGGGTCTTTGTTGTCATTGGTGGTGGTGAGTTCTTAATCCTCTTTGTTAAAATATGGCATTTACCTGGGGGAAAACCACTTAAAAGTGGTGGGAGTGCTTGTTTTGCATTGTGGGGTAAAATTTGTGGTATGATATCACCTGGGCTATTATAGAATGATTGTTGTTATAGAGCTGTCATCATGATGGTAGCTAAAGGATATTGAACTTTAAAATGACAGCTCTATTTGTTGCCCTGTGCATTATTTTGGGCATCCTAGAAGATTTGAGCTATGCCCATAAAGCGGGAGATCCACTCTGGTACCTTTAAGGGTATTTTTTGACTGTACCTGTATCATTTTTATTGGGAACACCTCCTTGGGGGGTCACAGGTTCAGTCCCCCACTTTTAGGCTTGAGACAACTATGGGTGAAGAATGACACTCTCCTTTCCCTCCCCCTCTGCCCCACTCCCCCCTCCCCCCCCCACACACACACACACACACACACCAGGGTAGGCTGAGAAATTCTAATTTAGCTTTATATCTTGACAATAATAAAAATATTTTCACTCTGAACCAGAGGCTGTATTGATTCATGTATACACGTATTGATACATGCAGGGTTTTGTAATCTAAGATACACCATTCAATATTGAAACCTCTTCAATAATACTATCACCTATCACACAGAACCATGATTTCTATTTGTTTGACTGTTCTTTATTGTTGTTTTTTCTTTAGTTTTTCTTTTAATAAATTAACTCAGACTTAACTGCGCTTAAATACTACCCTCCATCTTGGATATTTGTTGAAACCACTGTTATAAATTATATCTATGTCATTGTTGCTGTCGTTGTACATAAACTTTCATTATTATTTTTTCATCCATCATAGGTGGTTCAGCCATGAAAGGAGCAGAAACGCTAAGAGAGGAAGGCTTTAAAGGTAGCTAATAAACCTTATATGAGTTGGACCCAATCAAATTTAACCCTTTATTAGTCCCAATATCCACAAGCAAATTCTCTCGACTGATCTCCATACTTTTCCTTAAAGAATTAGTTGAGATAATTATGTTTAAAGAAGACTGTAACAATCCATTGAACTATCAATGTGAAATTAATGCTGCAATAGCGATGGGCTGATAGCAAATTTGAAACATCGATAACAATCGCGATAGTGTAGCAAACTATCAATAGTTTTGATAGTTTCTTTACTTCTAACATTTTGACTTCTTTGGAAAACAATCTAGTGTCCTACTGTACATAGGATTTTAATGTCTTGATTCTTTAACCGCATAGTAGATGACCACCACTTCTTAGTTATATCTTAAAGTAAAGTAAGGTAAAAACGGATATTCTTGAAGACTATTGCAATACTATTGCAAGAGTACCTCCACTATCACAATATCCATGTGTCCTATTGCAATACATATATTTGCAATAGTTAAAACTTCCCCGATAGCCATCCCTATTTTGCCTCAATTTCCTTTAAGTGATCATTTTTATACTTTTTTATTACTTCTCATAACCTTTTCTCTTGATTGTGTTATTGATATTGTTGGGCGAAAATTGATGTTGGTCACTCTTGTGACTTAAAGGGTGAACATCAGTTCAATGTAAAGTTTGCAGCCTTATTATTGTGCTTTCAGGCCGTGTTATCATGGTTACAAAGGAATGTCACTTGCCTTATGATCGACCAATTCTAAGTAAGGTTAGTGTATAGCTAACCATTTTATTATGCAATTTTTTTTACAAGGCCTTCTAAATATGAGAGCAGCAAACTAGGGAAATTTTGAAGGATTTTATGGAGGTCACTTTATTAGGACATAACATTATGGTTGATAAACTAGCAGTAAACGGTGGTTAGGGAGTGCAGGCAAACATGTGGGTTTACATTAGAGATGTGATGGATGAGAAATGTTCTCATAATTGAAAGGTTTCCTAGAAAAGGGGCACTTGTGTTCAAGTAAACAGTCACAAGTGCCCATTTTCTGGGAAAATATCAGCGGCAGATCATCAGCATGGAAACTGAATTAAACAACACAGTAACAATACTCATATTTACGATTTTATTCACAGTTGTTTAGGTACAATTAGCGTGTGAATGGTGAGGAGCGAGGAGAGAATGCTGTATTTGCAGGCAAAGATACAATGAAACAGTAATGCTTGACACAAATAATCATGACTGAGCAAAGTCTTATAATTCAATCGAATATTCAATCCATGTTCAATGACCAAAGGCCGTTGATATCCAATAGTAAATACTGAAAAAGATTTAGTTTACCACTGGAGTTTAAAGCCTATTGAAGCTTTCGAGGTGACAAGCGAATTGTTAGTGCTTGGAAACATGTAAAAATTTTAAAAAACCAGGCACTGAAGTGAAACCTGAAAAAACTTAATTTACATGGATTTCTAAACTTTGCTAATACTCGCAACTTACCGAAAACAATTGTAACTGGCTTTTTGTCAATAAAATCAGAAAATAAATGTAAACCTTCAGCAAAATGTATAGTTAAAACTTTCCAGTGCTTGGAAATTTTAATACAATAAAGAAGTAAAAAACCTATCATTGTATTTGTTTAGCCATGATACTGACGGGCAATCAAATGGTATACCTCAGTTAACGTTTCTCTTTGTAGAAATTATCTGCCAGTGCTGATTCAATAAAGCTGCGATCAGATGAATATCTCAAGGAATATGGCATTGAAGTCCTCTATAATGTTGAGGTAAGGACTTGGGTGTCAGTGTACCATGCACTTTACAGTTAAGTTGTGATAGCCTTGACTCTTCACTTTCAATTTATAAATGCCATTTAAAACTAAATGAAATATTGTTGCTGCTTTCTTTATTTAGGCCACCGCTCTAGATTCTAATAAAAAGACTGTCTTGTTAAGCAATGGGACAGAGTTAAACTATGACAATGTTTTGATTGCCACTGGTGGCAAGTAAGTACTATGAGATATTTTTATATGTATTTTATGTTGTTTTTGTTGTTTAGTCTGCCTCAATGCTGATGCCTTAGCTTTATGTTTTGTTTTGCCAAGTTTAGTTCAGTTGATTGTCACTCTGTTGTACGTGTTACAGTAGGTCAAATTTGATTTCAGGTTAATTTTGATTTAGCCTACAATCATGGACAAAAGTCTTAGAACACTTTTGCATTTCTGGGGCATTTTCCAATTCACACAGGTCCAACCCCTCCCCTCACCCCACAAACAATGTTGGAAACGTGTATCCAGACTTTTTTCCCGAGTTGTCAGTTGTATAAGGTGGGGGAAGGGGGAACTGCAAGAAAATTTCGAAGAGGGTGCACTGTTTTATGAGGGAACCAAGAAATGACAGAAAAATATGAGTATTGCAGTACTGTCCCAAGGACTTTTCTCCATGATTGTAGGTTGACTCTCAGTTTCCAATGTCTCCTAGCCGTAGAAGACAAAGGAAGTTGAGAATCAACCCAGGTTAAAAAAATTTCGACCTGAAATCAAATTCAACCCGTAACATGCATCCATATCATTTTGTGATGAAGTCTTCTCTTTCATTAACAGGCCAAGAAGTTTGAAATGCCCTGGAGTTGATCTAGAGAATGTTATGCTGTTAAGAAGTCCTGAAGATGCAAATAAGATCGGTTTGTTTTCAGCTTTACATCAACAATTTGATTTGCATTTTACAGGAAACTAATCAATAGACGGTGAGGAAAATCAAACAAAAGGAAAGAAAGACTTTAGCTAAATTATTTAACAAGCCAAAATAATATATGACAATATATTACTCACCATATTATTATTTTATTATAACTTTAGTATGTCTTTCCACAGTTGAGTTGGTCCCTGGAAAGAATGTAGTCATCATAGGAACATCATTTATTGGTATGAATGATCTAACACTAAACAGCGTGTTAAATAATATGGTCAATCCCATTTAATTCTTTATTCTGAATGAGATCCAATGGCATTACCATTCAAATAAAACCTCTTTAGCAGAATTTTCACTTGGTCCTTTGTTTATCAGCAATTTGCAATAGAAGATATGACACTTTTTTAAAATTTTGATTCTGAATTCTTTACCGTAGGTATGGAATTGGCATCAAATTTTGCTGACAAGGCAGCCTCAGTGACTTGTGTTGGTAGAAGCAATACTCCTTTTGCAAATATTTTTGGAGAGAAAATTGGTGCTATGCTGAAAAAGGTATTGCAAAAGTTGTCTTCCTAAAGTAGTAGTTAGAAATAACAACAAACTCTAAGACACTTACAGACAGAAGAAACCCTGCATATGGTTTATGATTACAATATTTGTCTTCTGAAAACTATTTTGAAGAAGAAATAACAATATCTTGAGACAGAGAGGTAAAAATGCTTAGGTGTTAGGTGAAAAATTGTCTGGAATCCACACAGACAAGCAAGGTTTCACTGCTAGTGAAGTAAGTCTTAAAAAAATAGGATGAAGTCAACTAATTTATATGACTGAGTGATTGAAGTTATCCTGTATGATTTCCCTTATGACATTAGGAGGCTTCAAGAAAAACATACTTTAGTAAAATAGTTATTGCCAATGATAGATTGAGACACACAAAAAAATTTCCATTACTGTGTTTTGGAATGAAATTTTATAATGATTGTTTTTATTGCGTTGTCTCATCTTCCAGGTGCATGAAAATAAGGGTGTGAAATTCATCACTGATGCAGCTGTAAAGGAATTTAAAGGAGAAAATGGAAAAGTAAGAAATAAGAAATGTAGAATATCGAAAAGCAAAATTAATGTCATCATACATTTTACCTGTTTTATTCAGTTCTTCCTAGATGACAGGCTGTCTCTATTTTTTTCTTAGTGCATTACAATGTGCCAATGTCTTGTATTCACCCCCTCTCGATAAATGCCCCGTCTTTCTGCCCTGTAGCATCAAAGTAGGCATGATTGAGTTAGTTTGTGGTAAAACTCTGTTTTATTGTTTAGTTGACAGCAGTTTGCTTCGACAATGGCACAGAAATTCCTGCAGATATTTGTATTCAAGGTGTAGGTAGGTTGTACTTTCTTGACATGGTTTAATGTTGATTTTGATATTATAGTGAAATGCATCAATGAATTATTGCACATGAAAGATGAAAGAACATGTGATATGTTAAATGATCACTCTAAGGCTTAGTCTGCCACACATCCGTTTTTAGTGTCGTCACACAATGGCAACGAGGAGGAGCATTGCGTGACGACCATAAAAACGGCTGTGTAGCAGACTATGTAAGGCTTGACTTGGAATCGAACCTTGGCCTTTGTGATGATTGAACGCCACACACTACGCAACTGAGCCAGTCAAGCCAACAGGATAGTAGGCCATTATTGTGAATTTTTAATATTTCTGATAGTTGAAATAAAAAGAGAATATATTTTGGATTGAATCAATAAACTGCAGATGGAAAAGTTGTTATCTTGTATTCAAATTGATTTAGCCATTGATCCTTCCAAAATAAATGGGAAGCCTTTTTTTGAGTAGAGTCAAGTAGTCTAAACAGGCCTACGTGTTTAGAAAGTGCAAAGGATGCACACCTTAGTAGTAAGAATTGATTTTTTGCTCGCTCACGTCTTTCACTCACTCTGCCATCTCTGAGAAAATAAGTTATTTCCGATTTTGTGAATTAAAGGCAAATGGGCTAGTCAATGAAAAGAACTTGCTTGATTCTTTTTTGTGTGTAGTGTAAGTGGTTGCCTTTGTCTTCTCTAGGTGTTATCCCTTCTACGGATTTCTTGAAGTCTAGTGGAGTACCATTGTCCAGTCGTGGGGATGTAGTTGTTGACAAAGTAAGTGATGCAATTTAGGCAAATCAGCCATGAGTAACCAGCCACTAACTTAATAAGTGCAGTATAAAAATATCCGCATAGAACAGTGAAGAAGCTTTCCAAGGAAACACTCAACAAAGTTTAATACGGGAAGGTTCTTCCCCGAGGCCTAACCTCTTACCCTTTTACATGCTAGTTTTGACAGAAAAGGTACCCATTTCGTATACCTTTTATTAACAAATGGTACCTCTTTCACATGCCAAGTATAGAACGCTGAAAAATACCTGAGGCCTGATAAGGGACCCTTTTTGGGCGGAGCCTCCTGGTATTGGCTATTAAAGGGAGTAACCCTTTCCCGGGCATTATCCACAGGAGCTGAGTGAATGGCATCTGCACGGACAGTGGACTTCCCCTCCTCCCACATTACCTTCCCCTTCTTCTTCTTCATCTGTTTCATTCCTCCCCCACCTCATCTCGCCCCATCCCGGCTTGCCTAACTAATAATCGTAGCCAGAACCAACAGTTACTTGAAGACTGTTTTGGGAAATTGAGGCCCATTGCCCCACAAGCAGAAAACTAATTTGATGTTGTTTTTACGGCTGCTTCTGGTGGGAGGTGAGGTGGGGCGAGCAGACGGCCACAGGGTAGTAAGAGTTAGCTCCTCGATGGGACTAGATAGCCTGCATTTTAAGAAATGTTTTTTACTTCCGGCTGCTTTGTTTAAAAATGCCTTGTAATTTTTACAGTACCTGAAGGCATGCGAGGGTGTGTTTGCTGCTGGAGATATTGCACACTTTCCTCTAAAGATGTTGAACGGGGAGGCAGTTTCTCAATTTGATTTGCATTTTACAGGAAACTAATCAATAGACGGTGAGGAAAATCAAACAAAAGGAAAGAAAGACTTTAGCTAAATTATTTAACAAGCCAAAATAATATATGACAATATATTACTCACCATATTATTATTTTATTATAACTTTAGTATGTCTTTCCACAGTTGAGTTGGTCCCTGGAAAGAATGTAGTCATCATAGGAACATCATTTATTGGTATGAATGATCTAACACTAAACAGCGTGTTAAATAATATGGTCAATCCCATTTAATTCTTTATTCTGAATGAGATCCAATGGCATTACCATTCAAATAAAACCTCTTTAGCAGAATTTTCACTTGGTCCTTTGTTTATCAGCAATTTGCAATAGAAGATATGACACTTTTTTAAAATTTTGATTCTGAATTCTTTACCGTAGGTATGGAATTGGCATCAAATTTTGCTGACAAGGCAGCCTCAGTGACTTGTGTTGGTAGAAGCAATACTCCTTTTGCAAATATTTTTGGAGAGAAAATTGGTGCTATGCTGAAAAAGGTATTGCAAAAGTTGTCTTCCTAAAGTAGTAGTTAGAAATAACAACAAACTCTAAGACACTTACAGACAGAAGAAACCCTGCATATGGTTTATGATTACAATATTTGTCTTCTGAAAACTATTTTGAAGAAGAAATAACAATATCTTGAGACAGAGAGGTAAAAATGCTTAGGTGTTAGGTGAAAAATTGTCTGGAATCCACACAGACAAGCAAGGTTTCACTGCTAGTGAAGTAAGTCTTAAAAAAATAGGATGAAGTCAACTAATTTATATGACTGAGTGATTGAAGTTATCCTGTATGATTTCCCTTATGACATTAGGAGGCTTCAAGAAAAACATACTTTAGTAAAATAGTTATTGCCAATGATAGATTGAGACACACAAAAAAATTTCCATTACTGTGTTTTGGAATGAAATTTTATAATGATTGTTTTTATTGCGTTGTCTCATCTTCCAGGTGCATGAAAATAAGGGTGTGAAATTCATCACTGATGCAGCTGTAAAGGAATTTAAAGGAGAAAATGGAAAAGTAAGAAATAAGAAATGTAGAATATCGAAAAGCAAAATTAATGTCATCATACATTTTACCTGTTTTATTCAGTTCTTCCTAGATGACAGGCTGTCTCTATTTTTTTCTTAGTGCATTACAATGTGCCAATGTCTTGTATTCACCCCCTCTCGATAAATGCCCCGTCTTTCTGCCCTGTAGCATCAAAGTAGGCATGATTGAGTTAGTTTGTGGTAAAACTCTGTTTTATTGTTTAGTTGACAGCAGTTTGCTTCGACAATGGCACAGAAATTCCTGCAGATATTTGTATTCAAGGTGTAGGTAGGTTGTACTTTCTTGACATGGTTTAATGTTGATTTTGATATTATAGTGAAATGCATCAATGAATTATTGCACATGAAAGATGAAAGAACATGTGATATGTTAAATGATCACTCTAAGGCTTAGTCTGCCACACATCCGTTTTTAGTGTCGTCACACAATGGCAACGAGGAGGAGCATTGCGTGACGACCATAAAAACGGCTGTGTAGCAGACTATGTAAGGCTTGACTTGGAATCGAACCTTGGCCTTTGTGATGATTGAACGCCACACACTACGCAACTGAGCCAGTCAAGCCAACAGGATAGTAGGCCATTATTGTGAATTTTTAATATTTCTGATAGTTGAAATAAAAAGAGAATATATTTTGGATTGAATCAATAAACTGCAGATGGAAAAGTTGTTATCTTGTATTCAAATTGATTTAGCCATTGATCCTTCCAAAATAAATGGGAAGCCTTTTTTTGAGTAGAGTCAAGTAGTCTAAACAGGCCTACGTGTTTAGAAAGTGCAAAGGATGCACACCTTAGTAGTAAGAATTGATTTTTTGCTCGCTCACGTCTTTCACTCACTCTGCCATCTCTGAGAAAATAAGTTATTTCCGATTTTGTGAATTAAAGGCAAATGGGCTAGTCAATGAAAAGAACTTGCTTGATTCTTTTTTGTGTGTAGTGTAAGTGGTTGCCTTTGTCTTCTCTAGGTGTTATCCCTTCTACGGATTTCTTGAAGTCTAGTGGAGTACCATTGTCCAGTCGTGGGGATGTAGTTGTTGACAAAGTAAGTGATGCAATTTAGGCAAATCAGCCATGAGTAACCAGCCACTAACTTAATAAGTGCAGTATAAAAATATCCGCATAGAACAGTGAAGAAGCTTTCCAAGGAAACACTCAACAAAGTTTAATACGGGAAGGTTCTTCCCCGAGGCCTAACCTCTTACCCTTTTACATGCTAGTTTTGACAGAAAAGGTACCCATTTCGTATACCTTTTATTAACAAATGGTACCTCTTTCACATGCCAAGTATAGAACGCTGAAAAATACCTGAGGCCTGATAAGGGACCCTTTTTGGGCGGAGCCTCCTGGTATTGGCTATTAAAGGGAGTAACCCTTTCCCGGGCATTATCCACAGGAGCTGAGTGAATGGCATCTGCACGGACAGTGGACTTCCCCTCCTCCCACATTACCTTCCCCTTCTTCTTCTTCATCTGTTTCATTCCTCCCCCACCTCATCTCGCCCCATCCCGGCTTGCCTAACTAATAATCGTAGCCAGAACCAACAGTTACTTGAAGACTGTTTTGGGAAATTGAGGCCCATTGCCCCACAAGCAGAAAACTAATTTGATGTTGTTTTTACGGCTGCTTCTGGTGGGAGGTGAGGTGGGGCGAGCAGACGGCCACAGGGTAGTAAGAGTTAGCTCCTCGATGGGACTAGATAGCCTGCATTTTAAGAAATGTTTTTTACTTCCGGCTGCTTTGTTTAAAAATGCCTTGTAATTTTTACAGTACCTGAAGGCATGCGAGGGTGTGTTTGCTGCTGGAGATATTGCACACTTTCCTCTAAAGATGTTGAACGGGGAGGCAGTTTCTATCGGTCACTGGCAGATCTCTCACAAGCATGGTGTGTATGGCTTTTTTATTCGCCAGTTTGCCACAGAAACGAGAAGGAAACTGGACCGAGTTAACTTTTGCAAAGACTTCTGGGACTGTTACCAGGGGATGGGGAAAAATTGGCCAATAGCAGAACGACGCGTCATTAGTAACGATCCCAGAAACAATTGCAGGACGCTTTTTGGCTTCAGTTCCCTTTTCGTTGCTAGAGTAGCTACAGTCGACTCCCGATAACTCGAACCTTTAAGGGAAATCGAAAAAAGTTCGAGTTATCGGGAGTTCGAGTTATTGGGAGCTCGAAGAAAATAGCCGAGAGTAAGGTGAAAAACAGTTTTTACTGCACAGTGAACATTTTAATCGCATTTAATTGTAGAAATGTCAAGTGAAAATTAAAAGATACTTCTAGATTATAAATCAGAACGTAACGTAACAAAACATAGCCTAAATAGAGCATGCGTTTTACTGTTTTGAGAAGTACAGCTGCTTCACGTTAGCCTGTGACAATCAACATCGGCCTCCATTAGTAAACTATACTCCTACAACACGTTAATAGGAAATCCAAAATTCAGTGTTTCGGACGCCAGTGGACGGCTTTTTTCCCGACTTTTTAAGGGTTCAAAACATGGTTCGAGTTATCGAGGGTAAAATTATATAGAAAATGACCTGAGGGGAAACGAAAACTGGTTCGAGTTAGCGGGAGTTCGATTTATCGAGGGTTCGAGTTACCGAGGGTAAAATTACAGTAAATGTATGACGGAAATCCAGGGGAAATCGATTTTGGTTCGAGTTAGCGCGAGGTTCGAGTTAACGGGAGTCGACTGTAATTCTTCAGCTGTTGATTGCTCAAAACCTACTTCCTGCTTTGTTCACTTCTGTCAGGGACTTTCATGTTATGCACTGTATTGTGTTTATATTCAGGTCTTACAGCTGCGCGTAACATGCTTGGACGAAAAGAAGAGATCAACACTATTCCTTTCTTTTGGACTTCCCAATACGGCAAGAGTATCCGATATTGTGGTAAGTTAAACTCATTGTTAGCTCATCTGCAACATCGATTTGTTATTATTTTAGATCTGAAACTGGTGTAAGTATTGGTTCTTTAACTTATTTCAAATCTCATTAAAATACACAAAGGCAAAGCCTCAGGAGCTGTCCGTGATAACAAAGTCCCTGTGCATACCTCTGTTTTAATTTTTGCCAAGGGATGTATGTACTTAGATGAGCCCAGGATCGGAAGAAGGGAATGAAAGAAAGACTGCAAGTAAATTCAATTTTTCTTTGGCTGGCTTTAGTTCAACGCGACTCAAAGAACCTGGGAACGAGTTTGCAAGAAAATCATGATTTCATCACCCATCGCGCATGTCTCGTCACTTCCGTCAACGCTTGTCTCTTGAAAGACCAGCTAAAGCGAGAAACAGAACAGTGGTGCATAGCGAAAAAAAAACTGCAAGGAATTCTTTTCTTGACAAGATCCTCTTTCAATAATCATCATCTTTATCGTTATTTTTAATTGAAAATAGTTTTCTGTTTATATTATTACCTGTATTAGTGTAATGT